AGCAGTTGAGGGTTTGGGGTCTTGCTGAAGGACCCAGAATGTGGCAAATGAGAGTAGAAGCAGATGTGAGTCACCTTTTCCACCCACAATTTCATGTTGTGGTTCGCAGCAGGGATTTGAACCAATGATCTTTGAGTACAGGTTCACTAAATACATATTATTTACCACCAAACATTTACAACATAATTTGTAATAAATAAGTGAACACAGCAGAATCATGTTTCTGTTGCCAACATTTGAGTTGTTTGTTTAAATTTGAACATAAACAAATACATCAGTCTCGTCGGCGCACAAGTGATATCTATCTATCTATCTATCTATCTATCTATTATCCATCCATCCATCCATCCATCTTTCTGTATGTATACAGGTACGTTTGTAAAGTTCATTGTTCTTCTTCTGAAAAGAAACAGTGACTAAAAGTATTCAGATTTGACAGAAGTAAATTAGGTCCATAAATTGAGCATTTAAATAAGGGTTGGGGCTAAGATCATATGAAAAGTAGTTTTAACAGAAGAATATCTGCCACTGGTTGTAACTCATCCCTGAATTTAGATGTAAACGAATGTAAAGAAAATTTGCTGTTTTCGAACAAAATCTTTATTAAAACCCTGAAAAGTCTGAATTACATTGACTCTCAAATAATCATTTAATGATGTAGAAATTGTCGAAGAATCATAAAAATTCAAATTAAAACATTATTATTACATTATCAAGTCATAAAACAGTTAATGTAGATAATTTTATACCTGTTCATATTTGTACTAACTTAAAAGCTTTCACATTATTGTCAATTCACATTACACGATCATCTAAAAAGAATTATTTCAATATTTGCATGAGCAAACAACATCAGTAGCAAGTATGTGCATTTGTGGTGTAGTCAAGGGCAGTTTTGGCAGTAATATTGTTATAGTTCTGTCTAAAAAAAACATGTAATGCTAAATTAGTAAGTGCTTAAATGTTCATAAAATTGTGTTTGCATGAACTGCTTGAATTTGCTTTGCTCCACTCAGGCTAACCATTAGCTTGTTAATCCAAACCAAGTTCATTCTTAAAGACCTCTACAGCAGGTAAGATACTGTTGATTCATTTTCAAATAAGCTCTCTTCAAAAGATCCTAACTATCTTTTAAAACAAGTAATTACAGTAGTAGTATTGTTTTCAAGTCAAACAAAAGAAATCACTTGTTTTTATACCAGTTTCTGCATGCTAACACCAGCGTATGCCATAGGCCTAAAGCAAGCACCTACTATATATTTTGGCACAGGTTAATGCTCTATCACTGAAAAAAGGAAAAGCAGAGAGTGAGAGAGAGAAAGGGGTAGGAAGGAGAATGATAACTTCATTATAGCTTAAGTGTCTTGACCTCAGCAGCTTTTGTCTGCTTTCTTCTTGATTCCACTGCACTGGAGAACTTTTATCCACCATGACAGAAAACGCAGGTTACATAAACCAGAGATCCTTAATGTGCTGCTACTTTCAGATACAGAAATGTTTTTATTTGTTCTCATGGACAAGCAAGGAATGCCATTGTCTACTTCAGCCCCATTGAACTTGAAACCAAATCTGTTTACAGAAAACCTGCAAGTTTAAAAAGGTTCATATTTTAACCCGGCTGAGTTGAGTTTCAGAGGCTGACACGGACCCTCGATCCTGAGTCCGAGGTGCTGCGTGTAATCCACTGACAATGAATTAGTTTATTGATGAAACTGTAGAGCCAGAAGAGGATAGAAGGCAGCCAGTGAAGAAAGGCATGTGAAATTATGTCTGCTCCCTTTGCTTGCGACAGCAAATCCAATGAAATGTGTGACATCCGCAGCACAATGCATACATTTAAAGAAGTTTCCTTCTTTCACTGCACAGCTCGTGCATTCAAAAGGTTCAACAGAGAAAAGTTGTTTTTCATCAACTCAGCGTTTCTTTTAATTGTACGTCATAAACACACAGAACACATGGCAGCCATATATTTTTACACACAAAAAATGCATAAATATAATGACAGGAATAATAAAAAGATTTTTAAAATGAAAATCAACATTTGACTGACACATACACCCTCACACAAGGCCCTAAAGAGACAGTTAAGATATTTTCAAGTAGGGTTTTTTGAAAAAGGTATGACTAATTAATATCTTACCTGTTGCACATAGCTCTTTGAATGACCTAACTTTGGAGAAACTGTTACATTTTTATCAGATTGTAGAGCTAAAAGCTAGCCCAATCACAGACAAGACTTGCCCCCTAAAAACAACTAAAATCTCAACAATTTAAAAAATATACACATACAGTAGTCCCTCGTTTATTGCGGGGGATCCGTACCCTGAAGCCCTGTGATAAGTGAAAATCTGCAAAGCAGGAATAGTAGTACAAGTAGTAAGTAGTAGTTTATTTTATTATTTCTATATAAATATATTAAGACCATTCCCACACTCTTGCAATATTCTAAACAATGCTTCTAAACTCTAAATGCTCTAAAAGAGCACAGCATGTCATGATTTCAGCTCCCTGCCTCCTCTGCTCTCAGCCACCTGCAAGCGCTCTTGGCCACGCCCACTTTACCGCTCTGCGTGGAGAACAGCTGATCAGCTGCAGCAGGAAGTTTATCCTGCAGCTCTGGACTGCACAAACGAGCAGCAGGTGCTAAATAATTTTAAATAATTTATTTTAAATAAAATGCCATGCCGGTCGTGCGGCTCATCCATCAATCAGCTAACTGTGTGTCATGTCTAGTCTTATTTTGAAAAACCTCGATAGAGCGAGTCCGCGATAAACGAACCGCGAAGTAACGAGGGACTACTGTATATGCTTTTTTTTTTAGAAATCTTTATACCATTGGCTTCAGATTCCATGATCATTGGGGCAGAAACATCAGAAGATTCCTACATGAAGTTTGCTAAATTGCTCAAAAAGCACAACAGCTAGCTGCTGCTGCTGCTGCCACTGCTTGCATGTGCAAAGAAACAAATATATTTTTATAAATAACTACAGTATATAATGCAACAGGAAACCAGCCACTTGGGAGCACAAACCAGTGTATCTCTTGTGCCAGTCCTAAGCCCGGGTAAATCAGAATCAGAACAAGAACAGATTCAAGAACAGTTTTTTCCCGAAAGCCATTACCACACTGAACTGACATATGCACTGATTTAATAATCTAACCTCCCAATCCCCTGGACTTCTAATGTGCAATACTACTGACATTTCATACTCTCAATCACCTTACCTCTTAACTACCTCACTAATATCCCTAATGTGCAATATAATTGTGGAATACTTGTATTTTTACTTTCATAGTGCTATTATATCTATATTGTGTTACCAAAACAGTCCATGCTCAATAATCCAGGTTTACAATCCAACAATTTTCAGTCAGGTCATCTGGACAGTTTCTTTTTTTTT